ATGTGTTGGTTATGCAGATGTAAGTTTTTATCTTGATTTGGCAACCAAGATCAAGTGCTGGTGGATTGTGCTTTTCCACGGCCGCTTCTAGTCTAGGCCATTTGGTGCGGTCGTGCGATCTGCAAATCCGCCAGCCAAGAAGAGGTGGTCGGATCCCTGTACGAAAGCCGGGGATGGAGAAAGCCACTATAGCTTATCACCGCTTGGAAGGTCCTCTTGCCCAAGGTCTTTTTGTTGACCACACCCTTATGTGTTGCCCGGTGGAAGCCGCTTCTATCATCCAAGGAGTCCGGAGCAGAAGGACTGGGATTTGATGCAATGGCGGGCGGTTGCACGATGGAGAGCCAAGCGAGCGCGGGGGACTTGGGCTGCTATGGAAGAGCTTCCTGGCGCTCAAAGACATATGCTGAAAATTCTTAGCTCAAATCTCGGTAGGACTATTGGTGGCAAGAAAAAATATGTAAACAATTTTGAGATTTGAGGCTGAGTCCTAAGAGTGTTGAGGGGATCATTCCACGATTGTGCCCTGATAGACAGGAATTCAAGCCTTCTCATTAAGCTCATTTCAGGAAGAGCACCATTAACTCTGGTGACTTGCCCAGCAGAACGGTAGTTGGGGGTTGACAAGATACTCTGCCAGTACTCCTGGCAGGAATTTGACTCTCCAAGGCTCTACAGATCAGGAAAGGCCAGGGCCATTGGTGTCAGCAATTACACGATCGAGCACCTCGAGCAACTGCTCAGCGTCCTGGTTTTGCTATTGGAGGTTGTTGTGAAATCGGCATATCCATCATTTGGGAGTGTCCAGCAAGCACCCAGTGGGTTCTAGAAAAAGATTGGTCCAGCTTGTCCCTTGAGCCTTGTGTTTTGATTGTTTCTTTTTCCGAGAGCTTGCCTAGACGCTCCTCTCGGCCAGATCTATCTCTGAGGTTCCAGCAACATTTCTCCAATGGTCATGCAAGGAGAATCGCATCCTCACTGGAGCAACAAGTCAGTTCGTGATTGGTGCAGGAAGCATGAGATCCTCTTCCAGGGCTACCTGGTAGGCAGAAAACGCCCAGTGAGAGGTGGTTTTCACCCCTTCAACTGAGGGGAGAAGACGGTGGTATTCCTTATCAGCTCACTCCAAAGGCCTTGAAATGCCTTGAACCTGAAGCAAGTTTGGGGGTGGACGGATCCACGTTGTGGTGGCGGTGTCCGGTGAAACTCCAAGCCGGGCCATGAGTCCAAGCTGTCACACGCTTGGACCCAGAGCCCTTTCAGACACTCATTTCCACCTCTCATTACCACCCCAAGATAGGTATATTCCAATTATATTCTGCCATGGTGTGTTTGGGAAGAGTTGTCCAAAGTGGTCCCAGTTTTTGTGTGACACGTGCTTTGCTGAGCAGGTATGGTGAGGTGTTGAGAAAAATCTCGCTCCGCTCCAAGGCTATGCTCCTTTCGGCGGACCCAAGACGGAGCTCAGTGGAAACCATCGAGCTGTGAATGATGAATTTGTCCAACAAGTGGCAGATCGGAATCACTTGTCTGTCTTCCAGGTGTGCATGCAGTGGAACCAAAGCCGAAACTCCAGCACAGTACTGCAGTCTTCCAATGTGGATCATTTGCGTGAGAACTTTGCCGCCTGCAAAGGCAGCGTTTGCTCTCCCAAGGATTTTGGGGGCATAGATGAGCGAGCCAAAGAGCATTTGAAGTACGGCCCCTGCTACTGGGGTCACAACGATATGGATTACATGAATCCTTGGAAGGATGAAGAGAAGTTGATGGAAGCTTTGCTCCCAGATTCTCATTAGCTCACTACCGCGCATACAGTCCGCGCATACCGCTCACCCCGCACAGTCCGCGCATACCATCGCCGGTGTCGTTCGTGCGGGTCCCGTTCTCCGAGTCGACCGTGACGAAAAGAGATCAGCTCCGTGACAGTGATGAGCTGTGCAACTGCTTCTGGAGACGGGCGACCCCGCCCGAGTCCGAGTCCTTTTCCCCCGGGGTCTGATCTCGCCGAGATCTCGACGCTTCGGTCGCAGTGAGATGCTGGACAAGTGGTCGCAGGAGATGCTCCAACACACAAGCCTTGCGACCGTGGTAGCGGACTTGGAGGATGTGGCCGACCTTCAGAGATGGGTGAGACCCCCTAACCAATGGGGTCTCACCCGGTCTGATCGAACCATCCAGCGGGTCGGGACGCCTGGGAGGCGGTCTTCTCCCAGGCGTCCTTCCTAAATGAGCAAAAAAGCACCCGAGAGCGGCGCGACGGGAGTTTGTTCCGCCCGTGAACAGTGGCACTGCCATGAGCTGCCATGAGCAGCCCGCTGAACTATCAGAACTGGGGGAAGAGCAGCCCCAGGCCATGGGAAAAGAGAACGGCAGGATCAAGTATGTTGCATCTAGGTAGTTCACCATTTCTGAATCCATTCATGCCACTGTCCTCCTGGTAAATGAGAAAAGGCAAGGAAAGCACAAGGTAGCTCACCGCCAGCAAAAAGAATTGAATTCCTTGGACCAGCAGTTGCGATGTGCTTTCTTATGTGGTTATATTTGCCAGGCTACCGCCTGCAGCCGCCGACCCCCAAGGGATAGAACCTTAGCGCTAGCTTTGCTCCAGGCAGAGAGGTGGGGGGAGGCGTGACTGTCGATGTTACCGTAGCGTTAGCTTGGCCTTAGCCTTAGACCGCCCCCGGGTAGGAGTTCCCCCTTTTTTTCATGTCCGCTTGCATGTAGGTTCCCTGATCTGCTCAAAAATCGATGAACTTATTTTTAATCCCGGCCAACGCCCTGGAATTTTCCCAGGAATGCGCTAGGCTTTGTGTAGATTTTGCGCTGGACGAGGTCCAGCCAGTGCCCGTGGTAACGTGAAAGGCCCTGGGAAGATTTTCGCATGCTTGTCAGGCGCCCGTGTCCGCGCCATGTGGCGTGTTGATTCTAGGACGGAGCAGGCAAACGGAAGCTCGGGGAGGTGATGGATAGCTTCTCGCGGCAGCCAGGGAAGAGACCGTAGCCATGTACACGCGGGCGGCACGCGCGCGTGGCGGAATGTCTGCAGTGCGGTAGGCCAGGGGGGGGAGGGGGGGACGGAAGGGTGTGGAAGCGGGTGGTTCCACGGTAGGAGGAAGGACGTTGCCCTGGACGTGGGGAGGGTAGGGTTTCCTGGAGCACCCTTCGAGCCAAATGCAGGAGTTGAGAAGAGCCCCCGTCATCCAAGTTGTCGGGTGAGAGGCAGCCGGTGTTTGTTGCGAGATAAGGGCGCTGCCCATGGTGTTTGCTAGGTCACGTCAGCCAGCGAGGGCGTTGCCCATGGATGTCCCCTTATGCTGAATCGATCAGTTTCTCCCGGTAGCCCAACCCATCACCACCAAAGCAGGTACCCAAAAAGTCGACTTCTTGGGTACCTCCCAGATTTACCATACGTGATCTCTTGCATGAACCCCGTGGTGATGATGATGCGTTCCTCACCGACGAGTCCGCGTCTAAATCCTGCTGTCCAGGCACACTCTATCGCCGAGGACCCCTCGCAGGCCAAACTGCAAAGGTGGGTTCCACGATAGAGGACTGTCTCTGTTTTTTCACAATAATCCTGTCGTTGTCTAAGGAGTTCCGTGTGTGACCGGGAACACTGGCATCATAGCCAAAGGTTAACAATTTTTGGCAGAAATCTGGAAACCGAAAAA